CTGTCACTACCAGTGTGACTTTGTGCACCTCAGTTTCCCCCTCAATAAAATAAGAGGGGTTGGACTAGATAATCACCAAGGTCCCTTTTCTGCTCTAAATCTATGAATATGTGAGGTATTCAGCTCCATCTCTGAGCTGCTACTATTGTTCCTGTGAGAACAGAGTCAACAGCAGTGCAGGAAACAAAATTTATATTCAGTTCACTTGATTGATAGGCCTATAAGAAAGCAATCTGAAGGAATAGTTCTCCACAGCCGTCCACCTGGAACCTAAAAATAACCTCTCCATCCTGTATGAAAGGAAAAGGGCTGAAAAGATTAGGAGGCTTGACAAAGCGTATTTGAGTGGCATCACAAAAGGAGATTAAGTCAAACCTACCTCTGCCTGTTCAAAAATATATATATATATATATATATATATATATCAGCTGATAGGGCCAGTAGCAAGATACCTATTATATTAACTGATATGGTGGAAAGCCATTGACAGGACTGGGTACAAGAAAGAATCATTTATTTTGAAGTAAATACATATTTGTGTTTCTTCCTCTGCACTATGTATGGTATATAGAGTCTAAGGCAGGGGCATGCTGAAGTCAGCTTGTATTGAATTGAGAGAGCCAATTGTTAAATTTTCAATGGGATCATTTCCACCTCAGAAATCAGTGATTACTACAAATTAGGACTTAATTTGTTGTTTTATTGTTCTAGACTCGAGAAACTGATGGCAAAATGATAATAATGCATACAGAACTTTTTTTAAAAAGTGTCACATGTATATTTCCCCCCCTCAGACTGGCTTTTAAACATTTACCAGCACCCCCCTGGTCTGAGATGCCCTTCACAGGACAGGTATATCACATGTAACTCAGTGAATGAACTGACAAGTTATCTTTAAATCACGTCATATTTTAAATTCTTCCACTAAAGTCTCAGACTCACAGAATCTCAGAGTTATAAAGGACCTCAGTTATAAAGGACCACCAGATATAAAGGACTATCTGGTGTTGCTCATGTTAACCCAGAAAAGAAATCCCTGTTTGACGTGTCCAGCCAGTGGTCGTCGACATTTTGCTTACAGACCTCCAGTGAGGAGGACCTCCTTACCTCCCAAGAGATTCCCCTTCCACTTTTGAATAGCTCAAATCATTAGCATCTAACTGAACTGGCCTCAAAGTCAGGAAGACTTGAGTTTAAGCCTGTCTCTTACCTACTGGCTCTGTAACCCTAGGCAAATTCCTTGACCTCTCAATCCTCCAGGCGTATCTCTGAGACTCCAAGGTGTAGAGAAGATGCTGACCTGTATCGATGGAGAAAGTATCCTCTCCCTGGAGTTCCTTGTACCCATAAAATCACAGGTCCCTGTTCCTACAGCAAGCCTTATTTTCAGCCTTTGCTTTTTAGTTCTGCTCTCTCTCGAGTCAGAAAGGAAATTCTAAATTCCGTTTCTTAGTGACTGCACTTTAAATACTTCAAGTCAACTAACTGTGTGTCCCTTGAATCTACTCTTCTCTGTGCCAACCATCCGCAGGTCCTTCGAGTGATCCTCAGATGGGACCCACAGGAGCCTTCCATCCAGGTTCTCTGCTCTGGAAGCCCTCCAGCTTATCCATGCCTTCCTTATCCTGTGGCACCTCAAGCTAAATCCAATACTCCAAATATGTTCTGACCAGGACACAGTACAAGTAGAATTACTCGCCTTATTTCTGATAGATAGTTAAGGCTCTCTGAACAGAGCCTAAGGCTGCTGTATTACATCGTTGACTCTAGTTGAGCTTAAGGACCACTAAAGTCCCCAGATCTTTTTCATGTGAACAGCTGACTAGCTTTGCCTCTTCTTCTTGCTCCTATGAAGTTTCTTTTGTGAACCAAGCCCCATTTCAATGACCCAAAAGCCTAAGTTCTGTCGGGACCTGCCAAGCTGGACGGTCTCAGAAAACAGGACTGGTGACAGGCTTGTTTTGGCTGTCCAAAGACCAGCCTCGTTAATAAATTCAGAGAGGCTCCTTGCCAGAAGACTGGTCAGCCACCAGGTGACGATTTTGCGGGGAGCGACTGGGAGAGGCTGGAGCCATAACAATTCTTGAATAATATTTTTTTAAACTCTCATTTATATAGCACTTTTTGCAAAGTTTTTTTTTTCTACTCAAAACAACCTTGTGAGATAAGCGCTGTGAATATAATTATCCCCATTGTACAGATGAGGAAAGTGAAGCTCTGTGAGGATGTGACTTATGCCCATCTGGCTAGTAATTGTGTCTCCAGACTCCCAAATTCACCTCTTTCAAGACTTGAGGCCAGATGATGGAGAGAGTAACACACAGACAAAATCCACAAATCTTTTTAAATATTGGAAGTATTTTAAATTCAATTGGGGGAACTTGAACATTAAGGAACTCTGTGTGGAATCCTTTTGTAACATGACCAGTCACACCCCAATTCATCTTTTTTGCAAGTTTGAACTTCCATACATTCTGTTATTTAATTGTGGAACATATTGACAATAGCAGATCATCGTGCCTTCATCTGCCTTTAGGGAAGCAGCGTGTTAGAGAGGAATGAGTGCTGAACTTGCAGTCAGGAAAACCTGGTATCAAATCCTGTCACGACTAGCTACTAGCTGTAGAAACTGAGGCTCAGTTTCTTCATCTGTAAAACAGGGATCATAATACCTATGGGGAACAATTTATATAATAACAATAGCACTGTAAAAAACAAATAACTTTGAAAGATATAAGAACTCTGAACTGTCCAATGACCAACCATGATTCCAGAGGATCAGTGATGAAATGTGCTACCTTCCTCTTGTCAGAGAGTTGATAGACTGAGGATGCAGAATTAGAGAGAGAGAGAGAGAGAGAAAGAGAGAGATGTTTTTGCACGTGGCCAATTCAGGAATTTGTTTTATTTGACTAAAGATTTGTTTTTATTTTTTTAGTGGTGGGGGAAGGGATGTTGAAGGAAGAAAATAGATTTCTGTTAAATTTAAAAATATTTAAACTTTTAAAAAATAACAATTCTTACAGTATCTACATCATAGCACTGGGAGAATCAAATGAGCTAATGTACATGAAACACAACAAACCTTGAAGCATTATGTAAATGCTTTTGTTTTGTCTCATTCGCCAAAGCTGCCCTGTGACTTACTTACTGTACGGGAAATCTGGCTTGTCTCTGGAAATAGAGCCATTAATATCACCAGATGATGGTTAAAACTATCAAGAGAAGTCCACAAATGTGACCCAGCTGAACCTGCCGCCGCTGAGTGACATGTACGATAGTGCAGAATGTTCTTTCTCTTTCCACTCCTTACTGGAATTATCTTGTCAACATGCATCAGGGTCCCAGATCCTGAACTGGCACCTGCTCCTTATGCTTAATAACAGAATGCCCCTTCCCCTTTGGAGACCCCACTCCCTTACTGTATTCTATAGTTTTGTTACTCAAAAGTTGAGAACAAACCAATTTTTTGTAAGTTAAGTCAGACTTTAGATGAATGCCAGGAGAATCATTCAAGGAGCCCTGTGGTGAAGCCTTTTGTAAAGTGATGCCATTTTTGTCTTCTCTTGTGAGAGGTGGAGTGGCATTATGGATAGAGAGCTGATCTTGGAATTGGAAAGACCTGGGTTCAGGTCTTGCCTCTGACATGTATGTGGTAGCCATGTGACCATAGGTATATCACTTAACCTTTCAGTACTCCAGGTAAGGTATATCACTTAACCTTTCAGTACTCCAGGTAACTCCCTAAAAGTATAAATTACAAATAAGTTGTAAATCTCCACAGGCGAATGGAGTTCCTCATATCACAAATCTAGACTGTCATTCCGCCCCCCACTCCTTCCTCCCTTTTCCCCACCTCCCTTCAAATGGTAGAGACAGAGGGGCAGCTAGATGGCGCAATGGATAGAGCACTAGCCCTGAAGTCAGGAGGACCTGAGTTCAAATCCAGCCTCAGACCAAACACTTGACACTTACTAGCTGTGTGACCCTGGGCAAGTCACTTAACCCCAATTGCCTTAAAAAAACACACACACACAAACGTTAGAGACAGTAGAGGATAGTAGGCTGGCCTTGGAGTTAGTAAGATCTGAGTTCAAATCTTGACTCCTATATTTACTAACCGAGTGACTCTGGGCAAGAAATAAACTCTAAGATTTATGTTGACTAAGGTGGAGCTTACATGATTGAAGGGAGCTCCAACAGCTAAAACAACAGATCCTTCACTGATACGAGCAAGCCATCCTCCAGGTACAGTGAAAAGAGTGCAGGATTTAGTGTTAAAGAGCTGGGTTCAAATCCTAATTCTGACACTTGCTACCTGTTTTACCTTATGCATGCCAGTTTACATTGCTGAGCCTTTATTCCTTCATGTGGAAAAGAAAAGCATTGGATTGTATGGTATTTGAGGTCTCTTCTACAACTAAGCCTATAATCCTATGATATTTCTTTGAATCAAGTAACAATGTCGCAGTCCACCGTTTTCTCATTAAAGGCGCATTTGCTGAATACAGAACAAAGGGTTACTGTGGGCTAGAAGAAGAAAAAAAATTCATAATGAGAAAAGATGAGAAAGTACACTCCTCCTTGAAAGTGGAGGTATTATGGGGTACAAACTGTTTCATACACTGTCAGACATGGAGGTTACTGTTGGGGTTTCTTTATTAACAAGGTCAGGGATGAATAAAACCTAAAAGGCTTCTGATATAAAAACAAAATGCATCATTGCATTTTATTTTAAGTCAAAACTTTAATTAAAAAAGAAAGAGAAGCTCTTGACTCTGCTTTCTGCACAGATATAAATATTCTAAAAAGAGATTAGTCTGTGAATGTATGGAATTCGAGGGGGGGGAAGAAGGACAATTTGCCTTTTTTTTTTTTATCTGTTCCGTGCACATGTTTTATACCAGAGCCAGTCATTTCTAAGAACGGCTTACCTTGAAAAAGGATAATTGTTTACACTGTCCCCGAAATCATACTTTCTCGTCTTCCATTATTCATAGTTACTGCCCCAAAGACGTGCACAACAAGGAGAATCTTTTCAACAGTCTGAACTATGATGTTGTGGCCAAGAAAAGAAAGAAGGACCTGATGAACAGCAAAACCAAAATTCAGTGTAAGACACCATCTTTGGACTTGGGGAATGGGTTTGAACAGTTAGGAAAAGGTTTTAAGAACTCGCCAAGAAGAGAACATAGCAGCCCTCTCCATATTTACTAATGATTACTTCACTAACATATTCATTATCCCCACAATTGCTAGTGTTTCCCCTCCAACCCCAGAAAATTATTTTGAATTTACTTATCTTTATACATTTCTTGGGGCAGCTAGCTGTCACGGTAGATAGAGTGCCAGGCCTAAAGCCAGGAACACTCATCTTCCTGAGTTCAAATCTGGCCTCAGACATTTACTAGCTTTGTGGCCCTGGGCAAGTCATTTAACCCTGTTTGCCTCAGTTCTTCATCTGTAAAATGACCTGGAGAAAGAAGTGGCAAAACCCAGCTAAGAAAACCCCAAATGGGGTCACAAAGAGTTGGAACACAACTGAAATGAGTGAAAAATAACAACATACATTTCTCCCTTTCTCCCTTCCTTAATAGAATGTAAGTTCTGCGGGCGGGGACTATTTTGTTATTTGCCTTTGTATCTGGGGCACTAAGCATAGTGCTTGGAACACAGCTGGCACTTAATATTTGCTTATTGAAATGAATTTAGTTGCACCTTTTTTATGTTTATTTGGGTGTTCTTCAAAGGTCATTTGTGTCTCTGCATTCAGGTTTAAGCTAAGTGAGGAACCTGACTGCGTATTTAATAAGGAGCTGTAGACCCATTTTTGTTGTTAATTTCTATCAGCCTTCCTGCTCCCTGTGTTGTTGCTTTTTTCTTTTTTTTCTTTCCTTTTTTTGTCCTCCATGTCATTTGTATTTGGCAAAGCTCAAATCATTTTTCCTAGGGCACATTCAATAAAGACCACTCTAATGTTTTTGTTTTGAGTTGTGGTTTGAAAGTTTTGAAAAAATATATTCTGTTCTTTCTTCTTTCTTGTGGAATTGATATTTACATTCCGTGAAGTCTCAGATCCTAAACACAAAATATAAAATCTCTAGTTTAATCTTTACTGTGAGGTTTTGTACTTTGTAGTCTCATCTGTTTTATATCTTCTTTCTTGTGGCCCTTGGAAAAGCTTCACATTTGGCACTTAATACAAACACCCTACCTAGTGGAAGAGGTGTTTCGTTTTGTTTTTAATTCAATAACAATTCTGCCCTTTCGTATACTAAAGCTGGCTATCAGCCATACTTGGTGCCTGCAACCCAAGTAAATTGAAATTCTTCACTGTATTTATACACTGTAGAGATTAAACATTTACATAGTCATGGACTGAGTCAGTAGAGCACATGCCACTGCTTAGAATCCTGGCTTTTCTTTCAAAACTTTTGTTAAACCTGAGAACAGATGCAAAAGAAATGCACCTAAGATGTTGAGCAATTCTATAAAGTACTAATGATGTGTCCCTTTTTCAGATTTCCACCAGGAAAAATGGATCTACGTTCACAAAGGAAGCACTAAGGAAGTAAGTGCCCCCTCAGAAGGCAGTAGGTCTCCCGTCATTGGGGTCCTCAGGAAGAGGTTGGATGTCCACTTTCTGGGTGGATTGTAGTTGGGATCCTTTTTAGGATATAGGCTGGACTAGATAGCCAGCTGAGTTCGCTTCTAATTCAAATTCTGTGATTTGGGGTAGATAGAAAAGGAGGCAAAACGATAGCCTTTCAGGTTATGTTCTGACAAGTGAGTATCCGTCTTTCATGTGATGATCCAGCCGATATTTGAAGACGCTTAGCTATCATGCCTCTGTATTTTCTTTGCTGGAGACCTCTTCCAGCAACAAAGGAGCAGGGTGGTCCCAGGCTAGTTGAAGATTAATCAGAAATTGGTTCTGAATGGATTGCTGTTCAGAATAAGCTGTCTAACCAAAAAATGACTCTGGTCTTCCTCTCTCACTCTCAGCGCCATGGATACTGTACATTGGGAGAAGCTTTCAACAGGCTTGACTTCTCCACTGCTATTCTGGATTCCAGAAGGTTCAACTACGTTGTGCGGGTAGGCATCCAGGGCAAAAGGTCTTGCCCACTGATCTGCTATTGCTATTGTTCAGTCGTTTTTCAGACAAGTCTGATTCTTTGTGACCTCATTTTGGGGTTTCTCTTGGCAAAGATACTGGAGTGGTTTGCCATTTCCTTCTTCAGCTCATTTTACAGATGAGAAAACTGAAGCAAACAAGGTTAAGTGACTTACCCAGGGTCACACAGCTAGTAAGTGCCTGAGACCAGATTTGAACTCAGGAAGATGAGTCTTCCTGGCTTCAGACCTGGCACTCTATGCACTATGCCCCCTAGCTGCCTCAAACGGTTGTGTTAGAATTTTCTAACTGGTTGTGAATGCTTGTGGCATATAAACCAATAGCTTAAATGCTTTTATGCCTCTCTGATAGAACATTCCTTAGGTCAGGCTCAGAAGGGTGGGTCCAACACAAAATTTACCTAAGCTACTCTTTTTAGTGAGAGATTTAAAAATATTTTTTCCACTATTTTTCGTACTAAATCTGTCACACGGATAAATGGAAAACACTGATCAGGCAACCCAAAACTCATGGCAACAAGTCCTGAGCCAAAGATAACACTTAGAAAAAGGGGAAAGGCAAAGGTTCCTTTAGTACAAAATGAATCAACCACCCCAAAGACAGTCTTTCAGCAAAACTTAGTGAACTGAGTGCCAGTCTTAGAGCCAGAGACCTGGGTTCAAATCCCTCCTTAGAAACTTTCTAGCTAAATGACCCTGTTCAAGTCACTTAATTCCCCTCACCTCATCAAATCCTAATCTGTCAAATGGAGATAACAACCAGAGCACCTACTTTAGTGAGGTTCCCCCCGAGATGTTCTTTTGTGAACCTTAAAGTGCTGTATAAATGCAGATTAGTATTATTTCCAAAGAGTTATGCAATAATATTAAACAATATCTAGTCTTTTTAATGTAATTTCCTTACTACCTCTATTTGAATATAGTCAATGATGAACTATGGGCCATAGTGGCTAGATAACTAGACTTACATTCAAGGACATAGTGGCTGGAAACACACAGCATAGTATAGTGTGAAGACTAGAATCTAGTCACATTTCTTCACTAATTGTATGACCTTAGGCAGGTCACTTAGCATCCCTGAGTCCCAGTTTCCTCAATTAGAAAATGAGAAGGCTGGTCTAGATGGCCCCAGTGCCTCATCCAAGTCCAGTGTTCTGTGAGACTAACCAAAGAAGGGATTCAAGGGTAACCAAGTTGATATGCACCCTGATGACTTTCTCTGCCCTCCCTCTGGTCCCCTCTTCAATTTCAACTCTCAGCTGTCCTAGATACATTCTTGGCTGGGGCAGAAGAATTATATCAGAGTCCAAATCATATGAGTGTTTCTTCACCTCCACCCCATGTGATGCTGTATCCAATACCAGTTTTACCTAAAGCTGAAATTACCTGTTTTCGTCTGCTGCTTTCCATTCCAAACTGCCATTTGCAACAGTACAGAATACTAAGAATTTGATTTGCCTGAACTGGAGTGAATGATGGGTGGAAGAAAGCAAGAACATTTATTTCACTGAGCAGTTTCCAGGCCAGGTTGTTTTCTGTTGGTGGCATTTTCTGTTTTTGTTTGGGTCCTTTTTTCTCCCCCTAAGCTCCCTTTTGCATTTTTGTCAGTGGTTCAACCTGGGAAGCTGCAGCTGTTTGGGTTTTAGGTTCTGGGAGGATTTTTTGGCCGGCTCATCATGCTTCCCAGGGCAAGCTCATTGAGTCAAATGATTCCAAACAGCCAGCCAAAGAGATGACATTCAAGAGAGTTCAGCCTTGGATCACTCACCTGTTGTCTAAACAGATGCAAGCCAGGCCTCCTGCACAAATCTGATCAAACCTGGCTTTCCACTTTAGGTGCGGGCTCTTTGCTAAGGCCCTACAGTTTGGCCGAATGATTCTCTCTGTTTGACTCACTAAGACAGCATTCTTCCAATACAAGTGATTAACACAAGACGTGCTCTTGGTAAATAATACTCTCTATTTGAGTCATTAAGTTGTTTTTTCAGTACAGGTGACTAAAACAAGACACCTTCTCAAGCCCAGATAGTTGCAAAACTAAGCATGAATGTTGTTGGGCCAGGCACCGTCACTGAGGGAGGTGTAGACACAGTGCTCAGGGTAGTCTGGAGTCTAGCCTAGAGGATTGGTTTGCAGCAGCTCTATGACAGTCCAATATCTTCTTTGGCTTAGGGAGTGATAGTACCTCCTTTCTGGTTATTATATGAGGACATCCAACCACACAAAGTCCTTCCCTATAATATTGGAAGTGTGGCTGTTAAGAAAATTAGTATCTTCTCAGCATCACATTTCATGTCTGTTCCTCCCTTCCATACATATACTTTTGCCATCACACATGAGTACACTCAAGTACACACACACACACACACACACATACACACATACATACAAAATCATATAATAACTGCACATTCATGCTTTTGCCACCACAGGCCCCACACATCATCATGTATGGAAGAAAATAATCACAGATGACATGAGAGAGTAAGAGAGGGAGTACTTTAAATCCATCATCTCATTTGATCCTTATAACAGCCCTGTGCTGTAGATAAATATCCACATTTTATAGATGAAGAAACTGAAGATCAGAGAGGTTCACACAATCAGTGACCAATGTAGGACTAGAACTCATACACAAGATTGAACTTAACACATGCTAACTATGACATTGGTTTAAAGACTAGCTTGGACTCAAGGCTTGGACATCCCAATTGTTCACTGCTAAACTACAGAAAACCTTTCTGCTTTATCATGAAAGGGAAGAATACCTAGCCTGAGCAAACTGAAATTTTTTCTCTGTCCCTGCTGGCACCCTAGTTTCGGTGGGGCAGCGAGGGACATAGTATATAGAATGTTAGACATCATCAGGAAGGCCTGAATAGGAATCTTGCTTCAGACATTCATTAGCAGTGTGACTCTGGGCAAGCTGCTTAACCACCATTTGCCTTCTTTCCTCAACTGTAAAATGGGGATAAAAATAATAGCATCTACCCGCCATGGTTATTGTAAGGATGAAATGAGATAAAACATATAAAGCACTTTGCAAACCTTTAAAGCACTATATCTATTGTTGTTACCAATGCCTTGGATTTTTCTCCTCCTATTAAAATCCCACAAGTATTTATTAAGCACCTAGACAGTGCAAGTCACTGTGAATATGAAGCAGAACAAATCTTTTCTTTCCCTTAGGGAGCACCCATTCTACTGAGGGAGGTATAACATTTACACAGATAAGTATATTCATGATAATTTGAAGAAGGAGAGAGGGCCTCAGGAACGGCTTTGAGGAGAGAGCTGAGCCTTAAAGGAAGCCAAGGACCCTAAGAGGGAAGGAGGCTGTGCCTTCCAGCCATGGGGGAATCACAGAATGTCCACTTTTCTCTAGGTACTCAGTCCTTTCAAACGAAATTACTGTAAAAGAAGCCAACTTTTCTCAAGGAAAAACTGACAGTGACTTAAGATGCATTCACTAGCATGAAAAAAATTCTCATTCACTCCAGGACTCAGTAAAAGGAGTGTGTTTGCTTCTTTTACACCAAACCAGTGGCATTCTGGATGCAATGCTCCGTGGGACCTGCTCTCAACTATTTTTAAGGTCACAAAGGAAAAACTGCTGAGTGCTCACAAAGGTGTTTTGGTTTAGAAGTGTTTGAAGAATATTTTTATTTTTATTTGGAGAAGGAAGAATTTTTTTTTTCTTCTGCTTAGACCCTCAGCAGCTTTTGGAATACAGTGTTATTTGATTAAGACCCTTAGAACATTTTCATAATAAGAGGCACTATGTTTCTGTTTTGAAGTTTGTTTTTTTCGTTTGGGGAATTAAAAGCATTTTACAGAGGGCCTCTTTTGAGTCATCAAACTAATCCTATGAGATAGATATGACAGTTAAATTTCTTGAAGTCAATTCCCCACCCCACCCCCACTTCCTAATTGCTTAAGGCTAACTAGCTACATGACCCTGGGCAAGTCACTTAACCCTGTTTGCCTCAGTTCCTCATCTGTAAAATGAGCTGGAGAAGGAAATGGAAAACCACTCCAGTATCTTTGCCAAGAAAACACCAAATGGAGTCACGAAGACACAACTCAGCGTATGACCACTCCTAACACACATTACCCACAAGGTGGCGCCACAGTGGGACTACAGTAAGGAAGACCTGAGTTCAAAAGTGAACTCAAACACCAGCTGTGTGTAATCACTATTTATCTCAGTTTCCTCATCTGGGGGTAATAGTAGCACCTCCTGCCCAGGGTCACTGTGGGGATCAAATGAGATAATATTTGTAAAGCATTCAGCACAGTTCCTGGAATATAGTGGGTGCTATGTAAATGCTTATTCCCTTTCCTTACCATAGCCTGGTAATAGGTGTACGCATAGTAGAAAGTGTCGGACTTGGAATTAAGAGAACTGGGTTCAAATCCTGCCTCAGAGGCTTATAGTTGTGTCATTCTGAGCAGGTCAGCCTCTCAGAGCCTCAGTTTCCTTATCTGTAATATTTTACTACCTATCTCTATATCACTGTGTTAAACATTTAAGGACTGTAGAACTGTGAGCCTTTCATTATTTCTAGATATCATTATCAGTTTTTTGGGTTAAGGATTCTGAAATGCACTAAATCACTTAAAAGACAAAGGAGAGGTTAATGGGAGGTGTGAACCAGCTAAAGCATATCACACAGGAAAATTCCAAGGCAGGAGCACCATCAAGGATGTCATCAGAGAAACATATGACTGGGAAAAAAAATGATCAGACTGGTTGGTCATATGGTAAAAACAAAGGAAGGGACATAGACTCTTTCATTAGAGGGCATAGGTTCAAATCCCCCTTTTGACACAGTGCCTGTGAGACCTTGGACAAGACACTTATTCCCCTGGGCCTTGGTGAGCTTATCTGTAAAATTAGGAGTTTAGAATAGATGGCCTTAGAGGTTCCTTGCCCCTCGAGGATCCGTTATACTTTGGTA